CTGATGGTGTTTGTTTCGTTTGCTGCTTAAATCAAAGTGCTTTCATGTGTTAGAAATGTCTATATTTATAAAATGTTTCTAAACCCACATTAACCTTTATTGTATGATAGACTGACTATATGGAAGTTAGAAGCAGCAATCACTTCAGGGTATCGGATCTGGACATTGTAGGGAAGCTCAGGTGATTGCAGTAAGAAGAAGAAGACTCATTTAATCAGGTTTGATTGATTTTTCTGCATTTAAGGATCTGTGGGGGCGTGTGTGAAATTCTGAAATACAAACACACAGTACAGACTCGGAAAACAGAAAAATAAATCAAACCCAGGCCTAAATATCATACCAGCATTCAGCATGCAAAGTATAATCAACAGGGATTATCAATACTGCAACATAAAACTCTAAGCCTATTGCTAGTTAGCAGCTATCAGCAAATAAAACTGTTTACCATGAAATACACAACATAAACATATTAACTCACGGCTCTATGGAAGCACACACTGCAGTCATTAAACCGATGTCTGCTCTGAATCGAGTGCTATGCATATGGTGCGTTTAAGAACTTTGGTGAAGTAGGAATTTACATGAACAGGGATTAACTTTTGTAGATTTATCATACACTGTTATAAAATTCTATCCCAATCGCCTTCTCTGCTCAGGAACACAGCGTTGAGACCCCGCATGGTGTTCTACGTGTTACCCTGCATGGGACACGGACCACCCGCAGGCCCGCCATCCTAACCTTCCACGACGTTGGTCTGGACAGTGAGTGAAGCTCTTCCTGTCTCGGCTTCCTCGTTTCCGTCTCTCCTCCATCCTCCTCCTCCTCACCCCTTTGTGTTTCTCCGGCAGGTAAGAGCTGCTTCTCTCCTCTCTTTAAATTCGAGGAGATGCAGGAGATCGTGAAGAATTTCACCCTGATTCATATCGACGCTCCGGGACAAGAGGAGGGGGCCTCCGCCTACCCGCCAGGGTATGACTCCACCCATTTCAGCTCAGTAATGTGTCCCGATGTAACCCTTTATTTCCTCAGAGTACATTTCTGTGAACAGTCTTCTGGCTGTAAAATACTCCCTGCTAAAAATACTCAACATTACCATCTCTCCTAACCCCTCCCAGCTATTGCTAAGGTGAAAACAAAATCCTCGCTTCTCTCTCCGTGCGTCTTATCCAACCTTTCAGCTCCTCTTTCTTCTTCCATGGTTAAGTTTATCTGAATGATGTGTTTGATGCTTATTCAGCCAATAGAAGCTAATATTTTCTTCATTTTAAATCCATGTGAGCGGAAGTGTGAGCCACTGTTAGAAATCGGAACCATCAGAGCCTCTCCATTGTTAGCTATCAACATAGAGTCTGGTTAATTTAAAATAAAGAGGATCTCTGTCCACTTCATGAGATTAATCTCTGCTGTCGTAGCTACCAGTATCCCACCATGGAGACCATCGCAGAGATGATCCCTGCTGTGCTGCAGTTTTTCAAGTGAGCCGGAGATCATTTCAATAAATCCTTCCGCATAAAAATCTGTTTAAATGAAGCTATTTCTTGAATTTTCTGACACGCCTATGCTGTATTAACTTCATGTCTCCGTCTGTCAGCTTCCGTACCGTCATTGGAGTGGGGGTGGGAGCAGGAGCGTACATCCTCTCCAAGTTCACAGTGAGTAGCTTCTATTGTTGGAGCTGTCATTTTTTTTACCATCAGGGACTTTTGCTAAAGTCTAAAGAAGCTGTCATCGTCAGACGCTGTTTCAGCTCTCAAGCTGACGAGGAAGACGGTAAAGTCCTGAGGAAGGAGGGAAATGATGGAAGTTTTAATTGGCAGCTAAAAAACAAGTTGGCTGTTCTTTTTTTCAGCTATTTTCAGTCCTGTTTTCCACCACTGTTGGGAACAATTTTCGTAGCTGCTGCTCAGCTTGTCCAAATGTTAGAAATGCTGAAAAATAGATGGATTATTCCTGAATGTACAGAGACTTGGAAAATATTCCATCCCTTTGAACAAACTTTACTCATTTTCTCCTGGTTGAAGTGAGAAAACATGAGTGGATTTTATTATAATTTCATGTTACAGACCAAAACAAAGTTGTGTAAAGTGGTTTTTGGTCCCATCATTGACCTGTACTTAGCTCTACTCTAGTGGCAGCTGGTGGACTTTTCTCCATTGGGGGCTATGAATTAAAAATAGACGTATACCAAAAACCAATCAAATGTATACTCAGTTATCACACCAGTATACTCATATGAATGCCAACAACAAAAAACGTTATAAAAACATTTTATAAAAGAAAAACATTATTTCATGTACAGGTTTACTTTTTGTACATAAATCTTGCCCTTCTGAGGCTTTATGAAGGCAAATCTTTGTTTTGCATGGTCCAATATGGTGTCACAAACCTAAAAGTATAATGCACCACTTTAATAATGGAGAACCTATTAGTTTAGGTTTTATATTTTTTAATATATAAAATATATTGTTTTCTGAGAATGTCTTTATTTAAGAGCAAGTATTCAAACTAACAAACATCAAGAAAAAGTACACTATATTCTATTATTTTCCTTTTGAATCCCAGATTGTTCACGCCTATTTGCCTTTTCTAAAAAGTGCTTTAAATCAGTCACACCTGTCATTATCCATTCTGGGTCAGATCCTGATGTTTAAAAAAGGAAACAGGGAAAGCAGAATAAAGTGTTAGCCTCGCTACATGCAGTTAGCCAAGCCTTCTTGTTAAACCGGATCCTGGAAAAGGACGTTTCTTGCACCATTTCTCTCTCTTTCTCCAATGCGTCTCCAACTACCGCGAATCGACCTGTCAATCATCCGCAAAACGTCTGCGCTGTGGCAGGAGGTGGTGAGCAAATACACTTCCTGTCACCTCAGGTCACAGAGTAGCTGCACCATGCGCTGTCCTATGCCTTTGTGTTGTAGAGGAGCTACTGCACATGTACAACTTTTAACCAGAGTCAATGGCCAAAGATTTTTGCGCTCCAGGGTGGAAATATGTCACCAATTCGACGAAAAATGGTATGACGATTTACTAGTCATTAAAGATTAGATATTTATCTTGTATATATACTAATATATTTCGAAATATTTTACATTTTAAATAAAAAAATAGAATTATTTTAAAAAATGGCTTAATCAAGATCATTGGGTGGGTGGGGCGGTGCCCTATCGCAGTGGTTCCCAAACTTTTTGTGCCCAAGGCACACCAAAGGACAAGTAAAAATCTCAAGGCACACTTATTTTGCTAAAGAGCATTTAAAACCTGTGTCATCCATCGTGTTTA